TTTTGGAAGGCAACTATAGAACCACTGAAGGCTTATGCCCGGGGTCGACATTGGTGTCAAAATTGGTGTCCCATTGTCCCGACTTATTTTTCATCAAAGATATTCTAGTATTTATAATATGAATTACAAATTTAAAAATTGCATTTTTAAAAGATTTTTTTTTATCTGCTATGCTCTGACAATCAAAAAAATACATTATGAAGCTAATAATAAAAAGAATGAAAAATAAAATGAAAAAATAAAATTAAAAAATAATATGAAAAAAAAATAAAAAAAATAAAAACTTCTTTGATGCAAAATTATCACGCAGGATAAGAAAATGATAATACACTTAAAAGTTTACACATTTTATCACTATAAATAAGAATGATCAATAAGAATTATTTTTTAGGAGAAGATAAGTAGGCTAATACATCCTGACGCTGTATATGTATATTTTTTCTGTGACCATAAAGAGCTGATACAAATCCTCTAAGCGTGACAGACAGTATCAGATCTTATCTTAGATACCTACACAGAAATATAACCCCAAACATCAACACTGGACACAGGTGGCCTTGTTTATATGTGTCGGTGGTTCAACTTTGGCCACGTTTTTTACAAGTGGTGCTTCTGTCTAAGTCAAGTACTTGGACGTCCTATGAGTAATTGGCCCATGTGAATTAAGATTGAGTTTGAAGTCCTTGTGTCTGTTGATTGACTCTAAACTTCTGATTGAGTCTAGAGTCCATGTGTCCTATGATCTAGTTCAGGGCCTTGTGTCCTTTTATTGAGTCTAGAGTCCATGTGTCCTTTGATAGAATCTAGAGTCCTTGAGTCCTATGATTGAGTCTGGAGTCCATAAATGTGTCCTATGATAGAGTCTAGAGTCCATGTGTCCTATGATTGAGTCTTGAGTCATTGAGTCCTATGATTGAGTCTTGAGTCCTTGAGTCCTATGATTGAGTCTGGAGTCCATAAATGTGTCCTATGATTGAGTCTAGAGTCCTTGAGTCCTATGATTGAGTCTGGAGTCATTGAGTCCTATGATTGAGTCTGGAGTCCATAAATGTGTCCTATGATTGAGTCTAGAGTCCTTGAGTGTTATGCTTGAGTATGGAGTCCATAAATGTGTCCTATGATTGAGTCTAGAGTCCATGTGTCCTATGATTGAGTCTAGAGTCCATGTGTCCTATGATTGAGTCTAGAGTCCTTGTGTCCTATGATTGAGTCTAGAGTCCTTGTGTCCTATGATTAAGTCTATAGTCCTCTGAATCCCATGGCCCTGTGATGCCATCCAATGCTTATTTCTCTTTGCTACAATTACTGTTACTGAAAGTCCTGAACACAAGACCCTGTGCTGTTCCAGACCAAATGTCTTCCTCTACTGTATAATTTATAACTGTATTTATAACTGTAACATTGATACTACACACTGAAAAACTACTTCACAGGGACCACTTCCAAACCCAATACTTCCAAGGCATTTTTTTGCAATGTAGTTGATTGAATTTTGTAGATATTTGATGGTTTTGTGTCTGCAGCAGAGACCTAAGATACGTTACAAGTTTATTGCTGTGAGCATTACATTCAATGAAAGTAGCATAACAGAACACTCATAGGTCTGAAGGCTTTTTTTATCATAAAACTCCAGTCCCGACAAGTTGAGCTTTGAGTGGAAATGTAATTGGTGCCGTGGGGAACAGAAATGTTATGAACTTAAAGGAGAGCATAGAAGGAAAAGGGACATTGTTGGCAGTATCACAAGAGGGTCAATATTGGAGGGAGTAAAACAGTATTTGAGATATATATCAGGATCCCCGGAGGGGTGTAGTGTTGAATATTTCAAAAACAACATGGCACTAATAATGATCAATGGACAGTCAATTGAAAATAAGGGGCATTATAAAGAGGGAATTTTATTAGAAAGGAGTGGCAGCATCACAGGAGGGTAAGTGTTGTATCTCTTAAACAAAAAATATGGCACTGCTTATAAGGAAGGGATAGTCAATTGAAAATAAAGGGCATTATAAAGAGGGAATTTTATTAGGGAGGAGTGGCGGTGTAACAGGAGGGACAATTGGATGAGATGAAAATCAGTAATACAAGCGAGATAGTGTTTTAAATTTCTCAAAATATATGGTACTACTAAGAGGGAATGGACAGTCAATTAAAATAAAGAGGCATTATAAAGAGGGAATTTTATTAGGGAGAAGTGGCAGTGTAACAGGAGGGGCACATATACGGCACTGCTAATGAGGAGGGACTATCAGTCATTATTAAGAGAGATTTTTATTAGGGAGGATTGGCGGTGTAACAGGATGGGCACATATACGGCACTTCTAATGAGGAGGGACTATCAATCATTATTAAGAGAGATTTTTATTAGGGAGGATTGGCGGTGTAACAGGATGGGCAATATAGAGAGGTGGCAACATTAGAGGGGGAGTAAGATTATTTGAGAGGAAAATCAGTATAACAGGAAGAGCAGTGGTGGGGATCTTACAATGAAGGCACTATTAAAAGGGCAGTCGTTTGGAGGTGGGAAGCATTACAAAGGGGATGTTAGTAAAGGGGATGGGAAGTGTTGAAGGGGCGTAAGGTTATCATTGGAGGAGTAGGGGCTGATATTAGCAATATTTGAGGGGATAGGTCAATAGTGAGACTGTCAGTGTGAGAGGAAGGGGGCTGGAGCTATCACAAACCTAAATGAGGTATTTTTTCTTTTTTTCTTTCTTTTTTTATCCATTCTTACTTTGAAGTTTGTTCCTAGTAGCGTAATGTTGTCGATAGGTCTTTGTCTGCAATGGGATTCACAGTAATATAAGAACTTAACTTACTAAATCGTGGAGGAGAAGAACAGCCAAATCACTGTCTTCCAGAATACAAACAAAAATCTTAAAAATGCAATACCTATAGGTTAGAGTTGATAATGAAACTATTTAAAAGTTTATTGAGTAGAAGGGCTTAAGAGGAGAGCCCTGACACATCCCTTTAAAATTTATATAACACACCCTCTTTCTTTGAAGTGAGTTACAAAACCTTCACATACAAACCCTGACAAAAGATTTGCAAGTGCATTGTCATAAAAATGCACACGACAGTGCAGGGCAATTACAGAGTATTCTATGGCCGAGAAATGAAAACCATATCATTATACATGTAGATCATTCCCTCAAAAACCAAATAACAGAGTCCCTACTTATAAAAAAGACCAGTCTATTGTGAAATCTCAGGGATGCAAAGTTTTGTATCATGATAAAAAAATCTTTACAAATGTCGATCCAAAAAAAAGTGTTTTGAAAATGTGCCCTAGTTACGTAATAAATATCGGTAAACAGAAGTTGAATGGAAACGAGCTCTTGATTGTTAGACTTGATTGAAGGGATCAATACACAAAGAGAAAAGTAGTCAATAAAGCGAGGTCTGTTTACTTTGACATATCAATACACAAAGAGAAAAGTAATCGATAATGCTGGGTCTATTTGCTTTGACATATTTCTATGGGGAATTGTGTTTACTCTGACAAAATGTATTTCTTTTCCTCAATAAAACAGGTCAATGCATACACAGCACGATTTATACCCATACTTATCATGAAATTAAGGTGGTATGCATGCAGTGAAATAATTAGCCATCACATATATTTATGATATGTAATGTACATTGTCAAAAATTGTCGAATCTTCAGACACAACAAAGACAACAAAAAGGCCAATTATGGTAGTGTTTTTAAGTACTTGTTTTCTCGCTGAATTATTCAGAAAGATATTTTCACCGGTCTTACCATGCAAACTAAAAACTTGCTCTCAGTCTATCTGATTTTTATGAAACTTATTGAAGCTTGTTTTATAAATTTAATGGGAATTAATTTCAGATCTTCAGTTCATAAAATATCACAAATAGTACTTATAGAATTCCACTTTTCCATAAAACCTGGCATATTCTTAACCTTTTTTAAACAGCCTTTTCAATGGATTAACTAAAACAAAATTATTCACCATTCTTGGTTATACCAATATCTAACTTAGCAACAAAACAACTTTAAGTATAAAACTGAGACGAAATTTAATGCGTAGTTCTGGCGTACACTTTGATGTTTAAATAACAACCTAGTTTAGACAAGATACATTTAATACATACTAAAAATGCCATTCTCGAGACTTTCTAAAAGGAAGTAGCTAACATGACAATTTGTAGCAATGTTTTTGACATCAATTTCCACTTTGAGAATGTGTTAATTTTCTTTTAACAACTACCTGTACACATGAGATGAGCGACTAGAATTTTCAATTGCACTTCTTAGCCAGGTTTGAAGGTAAAGAGTACAGTTTTGCCTTTAAGTTTAATTTATTACCCATTGGTATATCAGTATATTTCACTTGATATCACTTCTCACATCTTGTCAGGGGGGCACATTATAATAACTGGAATGTGACATAAAGACAAAACGTATTTAAATGTCTAAGTGATATGGTTTGACAAAAGAAGATTGTTTCATAAAGGCATTTGTAACTGACACATTCTTTTCTTTTATCTTTTGTATCTTGATACAGTTTTTTTACTCATTTTTACAGATGTATTCCATATAAAACATACCTTTATATGCAGTTTTGAGAATAAGTGTAACTTTTTTTTATTTTTTTATTTTTTTTATTTTTATATAAAAATAGAAATAAAATTCCAGGGGTGCAACTCAAGAGATATCAACTGCCAATCTACATTTACCACTACTGTGTCCGGGTGTTGTTTATGCAGTGTATCAAAATGAAAAATGAATATCCTGACTGCCAAGGGACATAACTCTGGACCAGAAACCTACATATAAGGGAGAATACTCCATAGCTCTGAAATGAATTCCCTTTCTGACTATAATTTGAAAAATCCTAGCTTCTCTCCACTAGATCAATATATACACCACTTGTTGTCAGTGTGTTGGTAAATTTTAAATGAAAATTTATATCTGTTCTAGTTTCTGAATTTTTTAAATGTCTAATAGACTTGATCTTCATTGATAACAGTAACTCGCTGCGACACAATGCAGGAATGTCAAGGACACAACTTTCTCAGGACTACACAACACAGGTATTTTAATTCCCCGATTTTAAAATATATAAAATTTAACGTTTCAGACTCTGTATTTTGATTCCCGATTTAAATTTGTACACAACGCTGTGTATGGTTCGGGTATATTATTGTTTTGTATTTTATGTATTTTAAGCTTAGGTCCCTTTTTGATATGAATGGCGTTCCTATGTCTAAATATTTGTGTAAACATATACAGACAAAATCCAAACATCATTAAAAGGATAAAGACTTTGTTAAATATTTGAGTGAATTTGTCATTCGTAAAACTACATGCATTCGTAAATGTTTGTTTAATTGACTGTGTCTCTTGTTAAATCTGTAAAATTTATATTTTCATATATTATCCTATGGAGACTGTAAATATAAAAGCAAACACGACACTAGTACTTGTATCATAAACAAAACAACAGACAAATGTGGTGCTTAATTTCATTGTCGAAGCAATTTTCATAGGTTTTGGGATGTAACGCCACATCATAGAAACGTTTTATCAATAAAATATTTGTGAAATATGACGTCGTTTCATTTTTTTTAATTACAGCAAGAGAATTTTTACTGCTGTCTGGGTTAACTCTCAAAGGACAAAACAGATGAATAAATTCTTCTGTACCTACACAGAAGTTGATTCGTTAAAAGCCTCCATCTAGCTGAGGGCCCCAGAGCTGGTACAGAAGTGATGGGTATTGATGAAAAAACGTATCTAGGGGCAGGGGCTTTAAATGTGCTGGGTAGGGGTGGGGTAGGGATGGGTTGGGGGTGGGAGAACAGATGGAGGGCTCCAAATTTGAAATAATTGGTTTATAAAGCAAATTAGCTAGCTGGCTCTGTTGGGGATGGGGATTTAGAAGTCCTGAGGCCACTTTGGATCTGACATATCGTATGGGTACAGAATTACGGATAAAATATTATAGGTGATTCAGTTCCAAAAGTAAGCTTCTGGATACAGTAAACAATACTTAATTAACTCATTCACCCCTGTAGATACATTTGAACTCTTCTAATTCAAAGGCTTAAATAGTTCAAATTTCAGGGTGAATGAGTTAAGCCAATTCAAATTACAATGGATAATTAAATTTTAATATATAATTAGCACATTGATGAATTAAGTTCTTGTCTAAGTGCATTATTTTACAGGCTTATCCCTCCTCTAATTTGAAACTTATAATTAGATATACAAGATATAATAATTATAAATATCTTCGATCATTTCTTTCTGATATCAATAATTTGTGAGACAGGACCAGTCTATACGACCTCCACCCGAGCATGTTGTTGTTCTGGACAGTGGTACCTAAATCTACAGTACTTATGGGGCCATATAAATTTGAAAGCACCCTAATACAGAAGCTTTCATCGTTTATTGGCGTTTTTCAAATAGTTAGCCATCTATTGATGGATAAACATCACTTGATCTTGACCTATACAAACTGGCAAACAGATAAATGGTCACACTTGACCAATACAAACTGACCAACAATGACAACAGCTTGTTGACCTACTGAATTGCCTCTCTGACTGGTCAACACGGTTACATAATGTATTTATCTACTTTGACCTTTAATCTGCCAGGACAACTTACCACTGGTCAGTGTTTGTCCAAGTGGTCAGTATGTTTGTCCAGTTTTATCTATGGATGTCCCTGATGAAGTCGCATATGTCCTTACTACCAAGGTCACATGTGTACCAAAACATCCCCCATACAGAAATGAATCCTCACATTTTACTTTGAAATCTACTGTATTAGCATATTCCAAGTGAAATTTAAGGGGAGCAAGGGCAGATATTGACAACACATCTCCGGTCAATACTTCCTGGGGGTCCAAATAGCTGTACTCTCTAGAATTGAGATTATGATATGGCCATTTTTAAATATTAACATATTTCCTACATTCACTTTAAACCAAGAAACCGTAATTGACCAAATATGTAACAGGGACTATGACTAATTTCTGAGATTAAAATAATTCCAAAAGCTTTCCAAAAGATTTGATTAAAATAGAAAACTTCATAGACTGTTTTTCAAATATATCTATATATTATGGTGAAGGGATTGAATGCTTGGACCAGAAATATGGGTTGGAGGAAAGTTATACAGACTAGGGCGCTTTTTAGGTTAAAAACCATATGTATATGACCAGGTAGGTCTGGATATAAAATATCATGAAAAAGAACCCTAGTTAATGCATGAAAGGCAAATGCATAAAATTAATAGCAATGTTTTCAAGAAGGTCTTAATTTCAATAAGGAATTTCAAATGTAAAAAAATAAAACTGTAGTGCCATCAAAAGCATAAAAAAGAATACATAAGACTTCAATTATTTGAAGTGTATACATAAGACTGATATTTTATTTGATATCCGTATTGTTTGCCTGTTACATACCCAACAGCCGCTAACAGCATACGAGTGAATACTTTCGCCAATCGAGCAACCAATTCCGAAGCCGGTAACCAAGGTAACAAATTACCATAATTACGATCTTCAAAGTTTGATGTAATTCCCATCCTTGCTGACCCGAGGTAAGACATTTATCCGCAGGTTACACCCCTTTTTTTATGGAAATTTTGGCCCGAACACAAACAAGTGTTCTCCCTCTTGCAAATTAACACGAGCCTTGCAGGTAAGTGTAGCGAAAGCTTTCATCACTAATATACATAAAACATTATATACCATCTTCTCCCTCCCATGCTATTTTTCCCCGTTCTGATCTTAATCAATGAAACATCTGTAGCTTGAGTATGATAATCAGTTTAGTGTTTCTGAGACTGAGATACAAAATATCCTTTTCAAGAAAAAAATTCAAAATAATGGTTTTTGAGTTGACTTTCAATTCGATTCGAGATATTTTGATGAAAATTAGGGCTGACCTGACAGTTCCCCCTGCAGGAATAGACACTAACTATTTTTATACAGTAGTCGGACAGATTCTTTGCTAGACCTAAGTCAATGAAACTAGTTTAACAGATTTCCTTACAGAAAATTAACCATCATGAAACTTAAAAAAGTGATTGACTGAAGTGAGGCATATGAATATTGCCATAAAGATATGGGGAAGTTTTAGTAATTAATAAAACTTTGACAACTATCCAGCAACATGTATGTATTTTAAGCAAGTTTGCTAAAAGCAGAATTTTCATTTAATAATCTATCCATCAAATATCAGTGTGTACAAGTATCATATTATTTTTACAAGTCGTAATCTTAAATCTTCTCGTCTCGGATAAGAGGACTCGGCTTAAGTATTGAACCCTGCTCTGAAAACTTTAGCCTTAAAATGTTAATTTTTAAAAAAACTGCAAAGAAGTGATAAAAAAAACATAGAAAGTTATTAATCATTCAAGAAGTAAAATTCATACTTAATTTTTCATTCAGCATAAGTTTGTAGGGATAGAAAGATCTTTCCGAATTTAACACACACTTGGAAAAAAGGAAACCCCTCTACTTCTACAGGGTAGTGACCAAATTCAACAATTTGAAGATAAATGTCAGAGGAGGGTTTAGATGGGAAGAGGAAAGGTTTTTGACGGAAAGAATTTAGTTTGTTTTTGCAAATTGACAGTAGAGGCTTGATTAAAAGGAGTTTGTTGTCAGGCTAGATAGCTACAGTATCATGAGGGAGCTTATTCCACTCGGATATAGTTCTAGGGACGAAAGTGTCTTTTCTAGACAGATTTTTACCCTTCCTCCTAGGAAAAGGGACCTCGACCCTTCCCCTCCTTGGAAAAGTCGCCTCCCATACACACACATATACACACACACACACACATACACACACACACACACACACACACACACACACACACACACACACACACACACACACACACACACACACACACACACACACACACACACAATTGTGCCTCTTGACTTACTTCTGGACATCAACACCATAAGTGTTTACTACTTACATACACAGAAACCAATACACAGACCAGGAAATGATATTGAGGATCAAAGGTCATAGGGGTGAAACTGACAAATCTCCAACACAAAACCTGTGGTCTCTTAGCTATACCCCACACACCAATCGGAAAACCACATACAGTATTACTCACCCCTTATAGGGCCACTCCTAAACTTACTCATAGATAAGTCACAAATTGACATTCTATTACTGCGAGATTGCCATTGTTTTACTATGTGGTGATAACTGTAGTATCAATGTAACACACGCATCCTGTTAAAAACTTGAAAGAGGAAAAATATCTATGATCAATATATATCACTTCCTTCCTTATACAGAAAATTGAATAAATTTCATGACCACTTTTTTGGGGGATTATTCTTTCATTGTCTTATTTGAGAAAAATTGAATTTGCAAAATAAACAACCGTATATCAATATTTTCCTAATCAAACAACACAACTATAAAGTAAAACTTTATATATCGTCATTATTTGTCTAGTGAAACATTGTCATTTAATATAAAGAGGTTGGCAATAGGTAGAAATACAAAAGAACTGTCAGGAAAATAGGAAAAAGGAACATTGAAATATATTGGCAGTGAGTGAGTTGGCAAATAATAGGCATGATGACAAAACGTTTTTGTATAAAGACAAACAACAGACCTTAAACTGAGGTTTCAGTGTAAATTGGCAAACAAGCGTCATATCATTGTAACATTCCTCGGGTACATATTTATATTCAACCTGCTCCAGAGACCACCTGTATTAAGAGACCACCTGTATTAACACCTGTATTAAGAGACCACCTCTACTTAGAAACCACCTGTATTTGGAGATCAACTGTATTGAGAGACCACCTGTGTTTGGAGACCACCTGTATTAAGAGACAACCTGTATAAAGAGACCTCCTGTATTAAGAGACCACCTGTATTGAGAGACCACCTGTATTAAGAGACCACCTGTATTAAGAGACCATCCTATCTGTATAACAATTCTGAAACAAGTTTTTAAACTTATATTAATCACTTTTGTTGGCCGGGAAGAAGCAAGCAGAGGTCCTGATGGAAGCAAGAAGAACACAGTCTTAATGTAGGAGGAAACCAGAGTAACTGGAGAAAACCAGGTGACCTGATACATTTTCATACATGATCAGGGAATCGAACCCTGATCGTCTTGGTGAATAGTGAGAGTATTATATATCTACTGCACCACCCAATCATTGAAAAAGTATTCCCATTATTATCATATAAGCTTGAGACGCCTTCATCTTCTAGTGTAGAGAAATGTACCGGACTTCAAAGGTCACAGACGATGTAAGGTATAGAGGTGCTCAGCAGTTATCCGTAATAGTGAAAAAGGTAATAAATTTTCTAGCTGAATGAGATACTGACATACTTGTAAATAAAAAGTCGATCTTTACGTCATCTCCAATTACGTTTTGGATGAGATGCGACCAATCGTCACTAAAAGCCGACGTAATGATGATGTCATAAAAATTACAGAAGCATTCTATGTTTGTAATATTTTTTGTAATAAGGAATTTTTTATGTCGATACTTGACAACTCTGTCATATAACTCAAAGCAAACAATACAGAGGTTTCCGAGTGTAACGTGAAGAAACTCACCCGCCCTACCTGTATACAATTTATATCTTTTCATAAATTTGTTGTCAAGGATAAGGGGAACAAACAAAATGACTTGCAGAATCAAGATCTAAACAGGATAAGATCAAGGTAAGTGTACTTATATGCTTTCACAGAAAATCAGTTGTAAATTTTGAAGGAGTCTTGTGAACGTTTGAAGATAAGACCTATGTCACTCTCCGTATGGACAGTTGAAG